GCAAATGCATAATGGCATATATCCATTATTACAATATGCAGAGTATTTTCAGTGCCCTTAAAATCATCTGTGCTCTTCCTTTTCATCTCTCCCTGCCTCCACCTCTGGCAACCACTCTTCTTTTCATAATGTTGCCTTTTCCAGAATGTCATATGGTTGGAATTATACAGTATGAAGCCTTCTCACGTTGGCTTCTTTCATTTAGTAATATGCACCATATCTTTCTATGGCTTGAAAGCTCATTTCTTTTTAATGCTGAATAATATTCCATTGTCTGGGATGGACCATTTGAGCTATCCATTCACCTACGTAAGGACATCTTGGTTGCTTCCAAGTTTGGGCAATTATGAATAAACCTGCTATAAACATTCATATGCAGGTTTTTGTGTAGATATGTTTTCACCTCCTTTGGGTTAACATCAAGGAGCATGATTTTGTTACCCAACTTTCTTCCTAGCCATCTTGTAGAATCAGTTTGTCCACATCCACAAAATAAGTTGCCAAGTTTTGATTGCGATTGAATCTATAGATCAAGCTGGGAAGAACTGACATCTTGACAATATTGTCTTCCTATCCATGATCATGAAATATCTCTCCATGTATTTAGTTCTTGGATTGTTTCATCAGAGTTTTATAGTTTTCCTCGCATAGATCTTGTACATATTTTGCTAGATGTATACCCAGGTATTTCATAGTTTTTGGTGCTAATGTAAATGATACTGTGTTTTTAATTTCAAGTTCCATCTGTTCATTCTTGGTATATAGGAAAGCAGTTGACCTTTGTGTATTAACCTTGTACCTGCAACCTTGCTATTAATCACTTACTAGTCCCAGGAGTGTTCTTAATTTCTACATAGATGATCATGTCATCTGTGAATAATGACAGTTTTACATCTTTCTTTGAAATTTGTATACCTTGCCTTATTGCATTAGCAGGGACTTCCAGTGCCATGTTGAAAAGGAGTGGTGGGAGGGGACATCCTCACCTTGTTCCTGATCTTAGTGGGAAAGGTTCTAGTTTCTTCATTGAATATGATGTTGGCTGGAGGTTTTTTATACATAGTCTTTATCAAGTTGAGAAAGTTCCACCTTGTTCCTAGTTTACCAAGAGTTTTTTATCATGAATGGGTGTTGGATTTTGTCCAACGCTCTACAGTGTTTTTTGGATTTGTCCTGCATGTGCACCATGCACGGGTAAGTCTGGGACCTGGGTAGTTGTTTACTCTAGTTCAGTTCTCAAAACCTTTGATTTGCAGTTTAGGGTCAGAGCCATACATTTTCAGCTTGGTGGGGAGCCCAGAGTTTGTACAGAACTGTAGGGGATCCTAAAAATACAACCTTACTAAAAGAAAATTTTATATGAACAAAACACCAAAGCCCCATCATTTTTTTTTTTAAAGATTTTTATTTATTTATTTGAGACAGAATGAGAGAGAGAGAGAGAGCACATGAGAGCGGGGAGGGTCAGAGGGAGAAGCAGGCTCCTGCTGAGCAGGGAGCCCGATGTGGGACTCGATCCAGGGACTCCAGGATCATGACCTGAGCCGAAGGCGGTCGCTTAACCAACTGAGCCACCCAGGCGCCCAAAGCCCCATCATTTAACAAGGATATTTTAATGTTCCCTTCAGATATTATCTACTTGTAAGAATTTTGTCTTAAATAATTATTTAAAAAATCATAAATACCATTTCGGGGCACCTGCCTGGGTCAATTGGTGGAGCATGGGACTCTAGATCCCAGGGTTGTGAGTTCAAGCCCCATGTCGGGTGTGGAGCCTACTTTTTAAATAAATAAATAAATATCATAAATACCATTTCAGAATCTATTTTACTTAAGTATTATATCTTTCATTTTTGCCTAATCTTTTCAATCATAACTTTAAATATTGCATTGTGTTCGTATCGAAGATACTATGCCAGTATCTTAATTATCTCAATTATTACATAATTATTGCTTCCCCAGTACAGAATTAAAGTTAACAGTACCCAGAGCGCCTGGGTGGCTCAGTCAGTTAAGTGTCTGCCTTCGGCTCAGGTCATGACCCCAGAGTTCTGGGATCCAGCCCCATGTCCAGCTTCCTGCTCAGTGGGGAGACTGCTTCCCTCTCCCTCTCCCTCTGCCTGCCACTTCCCCTGCTTGTGCTGTCTCTCCCTCTCTCTCTGTCAAATAAATTAATAAAATATTAAAAAAAAATAAGACTCTCTCTCCTTTTCCCTCTACCCCTCCCCCCTGTAAGCTTTCTCTAGAAATAAATAAATAATCTTTAAAAAAATTCATATGTTGAAACCCTAATCCTTAATGCGATGGTACGGGAGGAGTTGTCTTTGGGAGATAAATAAGTCATGAGGATGGAGCCTTCATGATGGAATCAGCACCTTTGTAAGAGACACAGGAAAGAGGCTTTCTGCCATGTAAAGATACAATGAGAAGGCAGCCAGGAAAGAGGCTCTCTGCCATGTGAAGATAACAATGAAAAGGCAGCCATCTGCAAGCCAGGAAGAGAGCCCTCACCAAGAATCGAATCTGCAGGCACCTTGATCTTGAGATATTTTGTACCATTTTTCTTGCTTTTCAGTTGTGTTTTCAACATCATTCCTTGTCTACAGCCCTGTCTCTTGAATTCTCTTCATAATGTGCTATATTTTTGTTGATTCCCATTTTTAATTTTTTCAACCACCTTTTACAATTTATTTTTATGTTGCCTCATTTCTCATTTTGTCTTCATGATTTATGGTACAAATTTCATTTCTAATCTTTGTGCCTTTTAAAAGAGGGGCGCCTGGGTGGCTCAGTCAGTTGTCTGACTCTTGATCTCAGGGTCATGAGTTCAAGCCTGGTGTTAGGTTCCATGCTGAGCCTGGAGCCTACTTAAAGAAAATAAAAATAAAAATAACAGAAATTTATTTCTCCTAATTCTGGAAACCTGAAGTTCAAGATCAAGGTTTCTTGATATTTGATAATCTCATTTCTTGTTTTCTGTGTTCTTTTAACTTGCTCTCTCCCTTGTCACCATCCTTCTGTCCTATTTCCCTTTCATTGCATATAAATCAGATCCTCCAGGATTTCTCTGTTCACTCTTCAACTCCTCTCACCTCATACTGGTGGCCACCTCTGTGTACCAGGTGAATCCTCACTGCACTCCCCCTTTATGCCTCCTTGCCATTAGAACTCTGCTCCTCCCCCACTCCATGATTTTTTTTTTTTTTTTTTACACCTTCTGATTGTACTAGAAATGCATTTGGGGCCTTATTCCCTCCTGGTGTGCTGAGATGCCATGCCGTGGTGCTCCTTGCATTTCTGACGTACTGAGCATAGGGACTTCTTCAATTGCTTTCTATCTCTGTGATTCTTTCATTTATTGTTCTGCTCATTTACCTCTCTTTCCTCACACAATAATTTAACAAACACCTATTGAACATCTTGAATGAGACAGCCAGACTTTGAGTTCAGAAACAGCTTTATTTTTAGGAGCTCAATTTATTTATTTTAATTTTATTTTTTTTAAAGATCTGCATTTATTTATGTATTTTTAAATTTTATTTGAGAGAGAGAGAGAGAGCATGAGAGAGGGGAGGGTCAGAGGGAGAAGCAGACTCCCCGCTGAGCAGGGAGCTGGATGCGGGACTCGATCCCAGGACTCCAGGATCATGACCTGAGCCGAAGGCAGTCGCTTAGCCAACTGAGCCACCCAGGCACCCAAGGAGCTCAATTTATAGTGGAAGAAGCAGAAAAGTAAGCTGACCACTGATGGTTAGTGTCCATCAGTGTACTTGACGATATGAAAAGGACCACAAGGAATCTGGTTTGATAAGTGAAGTTAATGATCCCTACCCCCCAGCACCACGGAGGATGAGACAATGATCACAATAGCCTTTGTCAACTTGTAAGGAGCTCCCTGTTATGGGGTGGTTCTCCTTGGTGAGAGGCACCCCTATTATTTCCGAAGAAAGGTATTCAAGGACACCAAAGCTGAAATGGCCACAGCGTTTTGTCTAACAGAAAGTTGCCCCATCCCCTCTGGAAACCAGATCCCAATGTCACTCCCAGAAATGCAAATCCCTTTAGAACAAATCTTAATGGGGGGCGCCTGGGTGGGTCTGTTGGTTAAGTGTCTGACTCTTGATTTCAGCTCAGGTCATGATCTCAGCGTTGTGTGATCCAGCCCCACGTCAGGCTCCACGCTGGGCATGGAGCCTGCTTAAGATTCTCTCTTTCCCTTTCCCTCTGCCCTTCCCTCTCTCTCTCCCTCTCTAAAAAAACCAAAAAACCAGAAAGAAAAAAAAAAAAAGAACCATGTTAATGGGTATGATGCCTCCTACTTCCACACCCCCACGCATTGCTGGTGACAACTTGTTGAACTTATCAGGACTGGAGAAGAAATTTTCCGGAAACACATGAACATGGCATCTAAAGCCACCTCAGAGAGCATGGGTTTTTTTGTTTGTTTTGGTTCTAAGAGAAAGAAAGAAAAAGTATTTCAAATGAATTAAACTGCTATGAGGAGACAAATATCAAGAAAATGGATCTCTGCCCCAGCGAGGAGTCCAGTTTCTTGATGGACCTATGAAGGGAGTAAATTACAACCCTCTTGCTGAGGGCATGGATCCTGGCACTGAGCCTCTAGCCCAGAGGGTTTACGTGGTGCTCCAGGGACAGCAAGATCCTGGGGGTTCACCCCTTCTTTGTCCCTGTTTTCTTCTGAAGATGAATGGCTAAGGCTTAGAAATCATGGGTCTTGGGGAACACTGTGCATGGTGACTCCAGAGTTTGTTTGCATTCCTGGTTTTTCATATAACCACAAACCCTTATTTATTTATTTCCACAAATCCTTCTGTTTTTTACACTTAGACTCTTTCTTGAATAGGGAAGAAAACTGGAATCCTAAAGTTCCCTGAGGCAGGCCACTCCCCTGCCGCTGTCTGCTGGTGCCTGCTGTATTGCATCCCACTTTAGAGAAGGAAGTGCAGTTCAGGGAATCGAAGCGTCCTGCCCAAGTCAGAATTCCTGAACCAGGAATGGTTATCGTGGCCTTTTCAAGGCGACAAAGTAAGAAAGCCAGGATGCTCTTTTCTCCTTGCTTCCCATTTTTTGGTCCCTTCCAGCCTCCTCTCTCCTAGGATGGGAAGCCCAAGCTGAGCCCTACCATTACCATCCCGTCCGCCATCTCCCTATCCCTCCGCCCCCAGCCCCTCTCCCTACTGCGGAATCCCGGGGCTTTGCCCTCCAGAGACTTTGCCAGACTTTGCCCTTCACCCCATGGTGCACTTGCAGCTCCAGAGACGTACAAACAGCGACCTGCTTCCCATGAACCTCTGCTCCCCTCGCCAGCAGGGGCGCGCGCTCCCTACCCAGGAGTCCTTGCGCGGCCTGGCAGAGCGGACACCCAGGACTCCAAGATGGCGTCAGTCGGTGAGTACCTGTAACAGGTTAAGGTTGCAAGGTTGAGGGCAGGACCCGTGGTCCGGGGTTCGGGGCTCAGAGCTGCACTGGGAGGGGAGGGGGCTGCGGAGCCGCCTGCCCTTCGCTCAGGGCCTTCCCTATGGCCTCATCGGAGGGGCACCGAGCCCTTTGCCCAGGGCCCTGCACCGTTCTACCCTTCGCTCGCTCAGCGCTCAGCCCGCCTGCCCAAGGGCCCGCGTCTCTCGGCTGCAGTTGCGGGGGTGACGGCAGCCGGGGGACGCGTCTGCGAGCTTGGGAATGCACCACCTCCGGCCATTCTTCCTCCTCGTTGAAGAATATTGACCCCGTTGCAGCCCAAGCGCTTTGCATTTGAACCCTAGGCGCAGTTTCTGCCCTTTCCAAAGCTGAAGCTCAAATTAAGCTCCAGGAGGAGCGAACGCATAGGACGGTGCCTGATACCATGTCAGGTTGGACGCATATATGTGGAATACGCGTTGAATAGGCTAAGAGAGGTGACGTGACTTATTCAAGATCACAACTAGTGAGAGGGCTGAGCAGGATGCAAACCTAGGAGTATGAGGCCTCGTGGTAAACTGAGCTTTAATCTCAAGGATGGCCTTATGATCTGCAGGCTTTTCAGTGACATGCGTGTATAATTCTACACGTCTCAGACTGTGCACACTGATTTTTTTAAAGGTTTTATTTATTTATTTTTAAGATTTTATTTATTTATTTGACAGAGAGAGACACAGCGAGAGGGAACACAAGCAGGGGGAATGGGAGAGGGAGAAGCAGGCTTCCCGCGGAGCAGGGAGCCGGATGTGGGGCTCGATCCCAGGACCCTGAGATCGTGACTTGAGCCGAAGGCAGACGCTTAACGACAGAGCCACCCAGGCTCCCTTGTGCACACTGATTTTATTTATTTATTTATTTTTAGTACGGAAACCATGTTTTAGCCCTAGAGCCTCTCACATTAGCCTTTTCCTTAAGTCCCTGTCTGGAACGTTGATCCCATTTTAAAGATGAAAATAAGGGTCAGAGATGTGGTGTGGCCTGCCTGAGGCAGAGTTTTGATTAACCTGTTTTACCCAGTTTCTTTCTTTTTTTTTTTAAATATTTTATTTATTCGACAGAGAGAGTGAGAGAGTACAAGCAGGGAGGAGGAGTAGAGGGAGAGAGAGAAGCAGACTTCCCGCTGAGTAGGGAACCTGACGTGGGGCTCCATCCCAGGACCCTGAGATCATGACCTGAGCCGAAGGCAGACACTTAACCATCTGAGCCACCCAGGCGCCCCTGTTCTACCCAGTTTCTATATTCTTTTTTTTCTTTAAAGATTTTATTTATTTGACAGAGAGGGACACAGCGAAAGAGGGAGCACAAGTAGGGGGAGTGGGAGAGGGAGAAGCAGGCTTCCCGCAGAGCAGGGAGCCGGATGCGGGGCTTGATCCCAGGACCCCTGGATCATGACCCCAGCTGAAGGCAGACGCTTAATGACTGAGCCCCCCAGGCGCTCCCCCCCACCCCCGCCCCGCAGTTTCTATATTCTTAATATCAGCCTGGAGAAATGAAGAGGGGATCAGAAAAGATGAGAATGATGCTGTTTTTCCCATCTGTAAAAAACAGGTATGAGAATATTTATCAGCGGTGGTTGTATTGTTTAAACAAGAGGACATGTGAAAAGGAAGCATTGAGACTTGGCATCTTATTTAAGTAGAGCGAAGTGATGAGCATTGTGGATTAAGGATTAAACAATTTAGTACGTGTAAGGTACTTGAAACACTGCCTGACCTGCTGTTGAGTACTGGTCATCTCAGCTTCCACTCTGTGACCTTTGAGCAGGGTCACATCTGGCCCATTCAGCATCACCCTAGGTGAAGGAGTTGAAGTCCAAGTCTTTTAAGTACTGACTATCTTTTAGCTGGTGTCTGTCGCCAGAACATAAAGCCACTAGTTCATTAGCAAATAAAGTGATGGAAATATGAATTAACAGCAATAGATGAGATCGGGTCAGCAAACTGTGGCCAATGGGCTAGATTTCCTGTGATCTGTTTTTGTAGGGCCTGTGAGCTAAGAATGGTTTTTAAAAATTAAAAAAAAAAAAAAAAAGTGTTCTGAAATCTGCTACTCTGTGGCCAGCCCTAGGCTGGATTTAGCACCCAGAAGACATTTAGCATTTTATGCCTCTCCGTATAGGTGGACAGTATGCTTTGAAGTCATAAAATCAGGCCAGGGAGCCACCTACCCTCCCAAGAACATGTGGTCCTTTCTCAGCCTTCACTGAAAGTCTGTTATGACCACGAACTGTATGTGGGGTTGCTCCCACCTTCACATAGCTCATAGGCAGAAAGACAGATAATTTCCATTTACATAGTACCTACAGCCAATTACCAAGGTGGCTGCTGTTCTTTTTTTTTTTTTTTTTTAAGATTTTTATTTATTTATTTGACAGCGAGCAGGAGAGCACAGGCAGGGGGAGCAGCAGAGGGAGAAGCAGGGAGCCCGACGAGGGGCTCGATCCCAGGACCCTGGGATCATGGCCTGAACTGAAGACAGTCACTTAACCGACTGAGCCACCCAGGCGCCCTGGTGGCCACTGTTCTTAACCTTCTTTTACGGAGGAGGAAACTGAGGCACAGAAGGCAGGAACTTGTCCAAGGGTGCACGGCCACAAAGTGGCACTAAGCCCAGAATACGGGACTCCCAAGTCTGCTGTGTTATCATTGCCCTCTACCAGTGTAAGCCAGTGAATGCAGAGGGGTGTGCAGCACTGCAGGAAGTGCTGGGGGAAGGCTCCAGTTTGGCTGCCTAAGGACCAAAGTCTTCGTCTTCCATTGAGAGAGACAGACAGTCTTGGAAAAAGTGTAGATGCATCTCTGATGAATCTGTTGATCTCTTGGAGTTTTATGGTGGTGCTGTTTTTGGCTCTCCTTAGGCCTAATGTGAAATTTTTCCCCCTGTCTTTATAAATTTCTTAGTTTTTGTCAAGGAAACCCTCTTTATAGGTCTAAATATATAGAAAAATGAATTTTAAATTGTTGGCTGTTTTCTCCCGTGATGTGCCAAGGCACCATGCCAGCCTCTGAATGTGGTCGTGAGAATGCAGAGTGTGTTTTCATAGTTTGTGGGATCAGAAGTGACCTGATTTTTTTTTTTTTTTTGAGTTACCAGCCTTATACCAGTCTCAAATACTTCGACTTAAAATACTGTTTCTTTTGTACACCTCCCCCAACATAGTACTATGATTAAGAGCATTTTTAAACCTTTTATTATGGAAGATTTCAAAGATGAAGGAAACAATAATGCAATGAACACTTCAGACTCATTACCCAGTGCCAACAGTTAGCAACATTCGGCCCTTCTAGTTCCATTTATAAATTAGTCATGCACTCCCCACTGTGTGGCCATATTTAAAGCCAGTTGGTTTTAGCATGACATGTTTGCGCTCCTCACTGCATGCAAGAAGGCTTCGAGTCTGTAGCAAAGGTGTTGACTATGTTCTTATTCAAGAATAGTTATTCTTGGACTGCGGCCTTCTGAACCAAGTGAAGACAAAACTGGCATGTAAAAATGTGTACTTGTTAAACTTTTCTCGGAATAGCATGGACAGGGTGACAGAAAGATACAGGTCATTCTCGAATGACATTATTGTGTGGTATTACTATCATTGACACTAAACTCTCCAACAGAGATTTGGAACGTATCCCGAAATTCATTTGAGACTATCTCATATTCAAAAATATTACCGAACTAATCACATCAGTTTTCTGTTTGTAAAAGAACTAAAGGGTGCGAGTAATCCCTGAAGTCCTGTTACTTAAGACGTCCTTAAGTTTGGTTTGTATGCCATTTCTTTCTCTACTTTTGTCTTTTTTCTTCGTTTCACATAGACCTTAATGACATTTCAACAAGAATAATGTTAACACTTCACAGTTCTGAGTACTGTTCCAAATGCTTTTACACAGATTCTCATTCAGTGCTTGGAATAAGCCATTTTACAGACAAGGAAACTGGAGCTCAGAGCTCATACAGAAAGGTCGTGCTAGTGCTTGAGATAAGATGGGCGGGGAAGGAGGCCTTTTAGGGAATAACATTTATGTTGAGCTGGCCGAGTGATGATGATCCAGGAGCACGGCAAATACAAAGGCCCCCAGATGAAGAAGCAGAAAGGGGTCTGGCGGAAGTATGGTGAGCCTGCTAAGATGAGTGGGTGAGATGGTTGTCTGGCGATAGAAGGTTGGCTCCTGAGAGCAGGGCTCTCGTCTGCAGTCAGTGCTGTGTCCACAGTGTGTAGGACGCTGCCCGGCATACAGTAGGTGCTCCGTGTTTGTTGGATTGAGTCTAGATGGAAGGTTCGGGCCAGTTTGTTTGGGACAGGCAGCCTAAATCATAACCCTCAAGCTATGTATGCAAGTCTTAGGCTTATGCCTCCACCTGTCACTTGTGGCCTCTCTCTTTTTTTTAAGATTTTATTTATTTGACAGAGAGAGACACAGTGAGAGAGGGAACACAAGCAGGGGGAGTGGGAGAGGGAGAAGCAGGCCTCCCACTGAG